ATTCCATGCCCTCCCACATACAGATCCACAATCTCATCACATCCATATGATCCTCATTCAGAACAATAACTTTCTTGGAGCTAAAACTTCAGTGCCTTTACTTTCCATTATTGCTTTTTGTTCTCTCTTAGGTTTAAGTGGTGTTTGGTTGGGCTGTGATGTGTTTATTTTAAGTTGACTGAAGTCAGCTTGAAGTCAACAAGTGAATGTGGATCCCTCAGTGTGGAGCTTCTGATTTTGCTGTAGCTCCTGTGGTGTTTGTAGCCAGTAGATAAGTTTCTATGGCTCCTTGTGTGTTCCCTTCCCATCCCACCTCCCCTTTCTCTAACCCCAGGGCTGGAAGTCCCCAGGCAGCTTCTTTAGTGTCTGTAAATAAAAACTAGAAAACCTGACTCAGAGGATGGTAGTACCTGTGTTTGGTGGGGAAACATTAATTCTTAGTGGCTCAGGAAGCCTTGTTGTTCTAGAGCTGGTTCCTGGAACATCTGAGGAAATTCTAGAAGGGCGAGTGGGGAGCAAAGAAGAGTCAGAAAGTTCCACTTTTTTTCTTGAGCAGTAGTAGTGGGTATGAGTTGAACACACAGTTTCTGACTGGGCAGAATGTGTTTTGCCCAACAAAGATGGACTGGGGGCACATTTCAACTGAGGTTAAAAGTGCCAGGGCCTGAATTCCTGAATATCGAGCTGGAAGTGGGTACAGCAGCCAAAGACTTGGCATGAGCTTTCTCTGCAGAGTGCCTCTGGTTTGATCCTACAAGGCTGGAAGTGCAGAGAATCAATCTTTCCCCTTCCATCTCTGTAGCTCTCAAGCATCCTTAAAATTTGGGAGTATTTTAGTGTAGTTGGGATTAATATGTCAGCCTGGAGAAATGAATTCTGAGCAGGTTCTGAATAATTTTCCTACTGAAACTAGTTCAAGATGAAACCTGTTGAAAAAACTACCTGTTCTGAGCTGCATGCAAATAGCCCCCAGAGGAGCATAGTTAACCTTGAGGAATTTTAAACATAAATATGTACAAGATATTCTCAGAGTTATGAGTTGCAGTTAATAAGAGTGTTTGTGTTGCAGCTTGAGTTGGGAGCGGTAGATCAAAAGCATCTTCCATTTGAAATCTGAAGTTCTTTGCAGTGTTCCATTGTGATTTGCTGCTGGATTATGATGCAGGGTTTTTTAGCAGCCTTTCTGTTTTCATGGAAACAAAACTACCTTTTATCCTCAAATTACTTCAGTTTCGTGCTCTCTGCCATCCTTTGATGTCTGTGGTCTAGTTTAGTGTGCTTTATCTAAATCATAAGCAGTTAAAAGGATTACAGAGATGCTACTCTCATTAGTGTTCTTAAAGGCTTTGACAAATAAGAGGATCTGATGTGCAATGTAAGGAGATGTGAGTGTAGCAGTTGTATAACTAACGGTGCAACATGTGTAGGAAAATTTGGGTACTTGCATCTCTTTGCTCTGACAAAACCCTTCTCCTTTGTGTTGGTTTTCAGCTCAAAAGAGCGTCCCAGGCAAATGGCTCTGTCTGACCCTGTCAGGAGACTCCATATGAGTCTTCTGAGGAATCTGGGAGTCTTTTCTCCCCTATTCCAGGCCGTGGGAGCTCTGGGTAGGGAGGGAATGGCTCATGATGTGAGAAGGTGAAACCCATCTCCCTCTGAGTGGGGTTGGCAATGCAAGGCAGGGTTTTCCTGCCTGCTGGACTCTCAATCCAAAGTTCCAGGTAAGAAGCTCTTCCTGCTTCTCACTTAAATCAGCTTTAGGAAACTCCATTTAGGCTGTGTGTTGTGTTTGTAGCAGCAGAGGGGGGATAGGAAACATGTATGTTTGCAAATATTTTTGCTGTTCTGGAGCAAATTGTCTGAGAAGCAGCAGAGCTCGTTCTGAGCCGCATCATGAATTGGGAACAGGATGTAATTTATTTCCCACAGTGCCACTGGGAATGGCAGGGAGGGCAAAATTTGGTACACAGAGCTGTGTATGTGGAGTGCTGTAGAAGAAAGGTAATAAATGTTTGTGCTCATGGTCTACAGGTCTAACACACCATCATGAGGTGTGTGATAGAAACAAGTGGAAAACCAGCAGTGTCAGTCCTATTAAATACAGTGTAAGGAGCTTGGAAACCCATTCCTGTTACCTGCAGCTCCTGTAAAGTAGTTCATCATTTCCTGTGCCCTCTTAGGTCCAAAGGATGATTGTTCTTGGATCTCTTCATGGAAGTGTTGATATTCACAGGAATACCTGGTGAAGTTCGGGGGGTGCTTTATTGTTCTTTTTTCAGCACCTGATGTATAAATGTGTTCCTGCAGTTAATGCTGAGGGCAGTATTTTGGTGACAGTGTAAGTGAGAGAGGAACTGCTGGACAGAATTGTTTTAGACCCCCAGTGCAGAGTTTCACGTGGTGTGGTCAGAACTTCCTGAAAGAAACTTCCCTTTTCTCAGCTCTTCGCTCCAGTGCTGCTCTTGACCTCTGGAGCATCGATTTGTGGCTTCAAAGGAATATGAAACATCTGGGAGGACACTGGAAATCTTGATGGTAATAAGTAGCATTGGGGGGAGATCACAAATTAGTCTGACCTTCATAATTTATATGCATGTGTCTAATTCTAATTCAACTGTAATTTAGGAAAAAAAAATTGATCTTTTACCAGTAGCTTTGCTGTGTGCTGATGTGTTCCTTGGAAGGGGTTACATGGCTTTTTGGGAAGCAGAGTTACAGTGGAAATGTGTGTACCAGGACTAATGTGTTTGATTTGTTTGATGCAGAAAAACAATGTAGTAAGTTCTGCTGGGGTATAAAAAGGATGATATAAAAGGATGATACTTTAACCTTTACTTTTGTTTTCTTATATAAGAATTTTTTTAATTGAAACTGGTAGTGAAACCTTGTTTTTCTCATAGGTTATATAAACATTTGACCCTTAGTTTGTCCTAAAACACATTCTTACTAAATTTTACAATAAACTTTACTAGCTTGTAAATTCTCTCAAGTTTAGACAACTAAGGATTTTATTCTTTTATGTCAGTATTATTTCAGCGTGATTTTGTCTACTTTTCCCTCTCCCCTCACAAAATCAGCCACATCTGTATCTTTTCAGTACTGCAGTTCAGTTTCTAGTACAAATGGTGCTGCAGTAATTTGTTTTATATTAGATTAAAAGACCAGGATATGAGATGTTTAGTGGCTCATATATTATTGGCAAGCTCCTGTTGGAAATAATGGATGTTGAGATGAAAAAGAAGTGAAAAAGAAGTGTAATGTGCTAAATGAGAATGGCAAGGCCTTGTTGTCTCCTGAGGTATGTGCAGAACACGGGGGGCACCTTGTGTGTGACTTGTGTTTGAATGTGGAGGTGCCAAAATTGGGTGTTTGACTGTGAGAGCAGGATCTGGCACTTCCCATTCCTTGTGTCCTCCCTGGCAGAAGCAGTGGGCAAGGTGGAATTACCCATGGTCAGAATCCAGCCCGTGGACTGTCAGTTGTATCAAAAGGCTTGATTTTATTCCATCTTTCATTAATTTGTCTACTTTAAAACCAACCCATAACTTGCCTTGCAGGAAGAGCTTTGCATCTGTGGAATTTGACTTGTTGTTGTGTGAAGATTATAGATCTTGGGCTTGCTCTGTTTTGTTGTTTTCTTACAATATTTCGTGTCTTTGACCCAAGACAGCACTAAAATAATGTTTAGTTGTGGTCTGGTTTAGATGGAGCAGTTTTAATGGTCAATATCTGAAATTTTTGTTCTGTAAGTATATATACATCAGCTCCTAGATGGCTTTCATTCAGTATTTCCTAAAAGATTTTGTCTCTCAGTAGTAAAAAGACCTCAAGGTTCTTCTTCATTGTGTATGTGAAAGCTTTTGTACACGTAGGTGCTGCAGTACTGGTTATTTTTCACACCCTGCTCTTGAGATGTGTTTGGTTTGATGAGACAGGGAATTTTTAGTTGGATTATTGTTGCTCTGCAGTGAATCTCCTGTGTTCTGAAGCCATCATTAATTTTAGCACTTGAAGAAATGAATGCTACTTCACTACTAATGTAATTAATCTCTCTGAAATAAGTCCTGCTGTCCTAATTGAATATCCACAAAGGAGTTGAGTGTCATTTAATTACACTTCTCAAAGTTGTTTCGGGTGTTTCAGTGTATAAAAGTACCCAATGGCTTGAAAAGCTTCTCCTTGAGAGTTATATTCTCAATAAATTGTATAGGAATTTGATTTAAGATCAAATGACACTTCTGTGAAGAAAGTACGAACCATTACCTTAGTGATAAATAGGTTTTCAAACCTTCATGTAGGTTGTTCATAGACATCTTTAAATATCAGTTTGGTTCATGTAGTGACTTTTTTGCAGCTCTGCTGAGGACATAAAACTAATTTAGTGATCACAGAGGATAACAAAGCAAGGTAGTGGAATTTTATTACTGCATCTGCCTCCCTGACCTCATGGAAATAGGTTTTATTAGAGATCTTCCTCTGTCATATCTGGGAGAACACTGGGATACACAACTGCCATGGCATTTTCAGGGACATCACTAGGTCACTCCAGTCTCTGGGCACACCCCTCTTAATGCTTGTCTTGAGATGGGATGGACCACATTAACCAAAATGTTAATTATTTGTTATAACAAATAATTAACAAGTGTTAGTTTTGCAATCTAAATGAAATATTTGCTTGGGGAGAACAAATGGCTGAAAACGTGCACTTTTGGGGGGAAGAAATAAATAGGAAAAACTGAGTATGATGTCAGAATCATCACAGCTTCATTCTGGGTGAGGGATCCTTTCCTGAAGAGGGGTGTGGGTTTTGTTGGGGGGGTGTTTTTTGGGGGTGAAACCTGTTACAGACACCTAATGCCTGGTTGTTAGAGCAACGTCAGCTGTGAAATCTGTTGGTTTACTCAGGTGAAGGGATCAGTCTGAGGGGTTTTGTGTTTGTTTGTCCCCTTTGCTCCGTGCCTGTTGCTGTCCCTGGTGTGAGCTGTGCTCCTGTGTTGCAGTGGGGGTGATCCGCTGCCCGATCTGCCGCCAGGAGTGCCGGCAGATAGACCTGGTGGACAACTACTTTGTGAAGGACACCTCGGAGACCCCGAGCAGCTCTGATGAGAAATCAGAGCAGGTAAGGACTGGCCTTGCCCCAGATTCCCATTTTATTTCTGTGCCTGTTAGTGCTTCCCAGGACAATCACAGAATCAGCTGGGTTGGAAGGGACCTCCGAGATCATCAAGTCCAACCCTTGATCCAACCCCGCTGTGGTTCCCAGCCCATGGCACTGATGCCACATCCAGTCTGTCCTTAAACACCTCCAGGGATGGAGAATCCACCACTTCCCTGGGCAGCCCATTCCAATGGCTGATCACCCTCTCTGGAAAGAATTTCTTCCTAATATCCAACCTAAACCTCCCCTGGCACAGCTCAAGACCCAGCCCTCTTGTCTTGCTGAGAGTTGCCTGGGAAAAGAGACCAACCCCCCCCTGGCTCCCCCCTCCTGTCAGGGAGTTGCAGAGAGTGAGGAGGTCTCCCCTGAGCCTCCTCTTCTCCAGGCTGAGCCCCCCCAGCTCCCTCAGCCTCTCCTCACAGCACTTGTGCTCCAGTCCCTTCCCCAGCCTCATTGCTCTCCTCTGGACCTGCTCCAGCCCCTCCATGTCCTTCCTGAGCTGAGGGCCCAGAGCTGGACACAGCACTCCAGGGGTGGCCTCCCCAGCGCTGAGTCCAGGGGTAGAATCACTTCCCTGGACCTGTTGGCCACCCTGTTCCTGATCCAGGCCAGGATCCATTGGCCTTCTTGTCCCCCTGGGCACACTCTGGCTCCTGTTCAGCTCCCTGTCCATCCCCACTCCCAGCTCCCTTCCTGCCTGGCTGCTCTCCAGCCACTCTGGCCCAGCCTGGAGCTGCCGGGGGTTGTTGTGGCCAAAGGTCAGGACCCGGCCCTTGGCCTGGTTGAACCTCATCCCGTTGGAATCAGCCCAACTCTCCAACCTGTCCAGGTCCCTCTGCAGAGCCCAGTGACTGTGTCCCTTCACAGGTGTGCACGAGCTGCGAGGACAACGCCAGTGCCGTTGGGTTCTGTGTGGAGTGTGGGGAATGGCTGTGCAAGACCTGCATAGAAGCTCACCAGCGAGTCAAGTTCACTAAAGATCACATGATCAGGAAAAAAGAGGATGTGTCTTCAGGTGAGTGTTTGGGTTTCACTTTGTCCTGCCCATATTAACAGTGTTTTCTCTTTGGCCCGTGTGATAAAAGAGAGGGAGGAGGATTTAGCTAACAGCCAGCTCTGTGTGGCTTTCCCCAAGGATTTGGGGGAAGTTTACCAGTGCAAAATTAGTAGCTCTAAAACCTAAATTTTTAACTGAGTTATTCGTTCATACTTTGTACAGTTTCATGTCCAATGGGCAAAATGCTTTTAAGTGTAGAAGCCAAGAGAGTGCAGCCTTTGGAAAGGATTTAGATCCATTCTTAATAATCCTGTTTAGTAGAACAAGTAACTAAATGAAAGGGTTGGAATCTGGAGAGCACTGACATATTGATAATCCCATCCATTGGCAAGGAAATTAAATTACATGTTTTGTTGTATTTTGTTCTAAGGAGCAATTATAGTTCTCCCAGTAGACAAGTATATACAGATAAGCTTAGAGTCATATTCAGTATGATACTGTTGTATTGATATTGCTGAGTAAATGTGGAATTTGAGTTTATTTTAGGTTTAATCTCTCAGTTAGGAAAATTTAACATATGGAGTGTGTGTAGGATTTGTTTAGACATCCAGCTTTATTAGAAGTTAATTCTTAAATTATTGTTTGATTATATATAACTCGTAGCCTATTGAGGGAATGTAGAAAATGTTGTCAAAACAGGTCCAGGGTATCTGGATTTTAACTTAGAAAATTTGATTTGTAAATGGGTTAAAAGTTCTGATTCAAAGACCTGTATGTTCTCCCTAATCTGGATGTATATGAGGAATGATCATATTGAAGAAGAGAGATCTTTTGACTTTGCTCTCTTTCCATTTAAAATGAATTAAGATCTTCATGATTATTTTTTGTATCCTTTCACAGGAGCAAACACTGCTTTTCTTTCTGCCAGCACTTGTCAAAATCATATTAATAGTTAAAAACTTTGCTGTTGAGCTTAGTTCTTTTAGAGAAGGAACTTATTTCCCTTGCTCTAGCAAATAAACTTCACTTTTGGAGAGGTTTCTCTGTATGTCTTAATGAATATTTTTTTTAAAGGAAATATTACCCATTTAAGCTTAAATTTATTAAATCTCTAGATGAGAAGCCCTTAAATTAAATCAAAGTACAGGGCCAGGCAAAGAATTACTGATGTTTTTCCAAGGAGTGCTAAATTGTGATTGTTAAAGTGGTATTATAGCTCAGCTTTCCCTTTGATAACTGACTGGGAAGGTGCTGAAAAATGACTTCCAATAAAATAAACTTTCCATCAGAAATTCTATTTATCGTGGTTGTGTGGAAGGGCTGGTCGTTATTTTTTTATTCTTCTTAGACTCAAAGATGTGCCCTGGAGACTTTAAATTTTTCTTAATGAGTGTCAACTGTAGATTCATCAGCTCTCTTTCTTCACAATAATTTGCATGATATAACAAGCTTCAGAAACATTGGAGACTGAGGAAGACATCCATGTTTTAAACCCTACCTGCTGCATCTTCCCAGGGCTGCTTTCCTCTTTGCTAAGCTCAAAATATCTTTAGAAAACCGTGCAGCACTTTTTTGTAAACTCAGAACTATTTTTGGACATTGTTATTTGCTGAAGTGGAAAATTTAAGCAATTTAGGTGGGGTTTAAGTAACTCCTGACAGACAGTGTTTGCTTTGCAGTTACCTCTTGGTTGTGTTTGACTTAATGGGGTGTGTAAAGGTTTTGAAGGGATAACTTAGAAAACATATGGGTGTTTGACAGCATAAAGATTTGAGAGTTGGATCCGTCCTTGAGTGTGCCAGAGCTGAAATCCCATGGAATTAAATCTTTAACCACATGTACACCTGGTGTTTGTGTGCAGTTTTCCATTCTGACAGGTGCCAATGTCTTTTGGGTGCTTGGGAGAGGAATTCCTTCTTCTCCTTGAATAAAGTGGAAGCAGCTATAAACCACTGGCACTGTAAATCATGAAATCATTAAGGTTGGAAAAGACCTCAAAAGTCCTAATGTATTCACAGTAATTTTAGGGTGAGAACAGGTCTGGAGTTGTCTTTGTACGTTCGTGGTTGTTACTTAGCTTGGAATTTAGTTGTTTTGCCCTTCAGATTGTCCAGATTTTATTTTAAAATACACAAATGGTTTATTTTTAAAAACAGAGGCCGTGGGAGCATCTGGTCAACGTCCTGTTTTCTGTCCTGTGCACAAACAAGAGCAGTTAAAGCTTTTCTGTGAAACCTGTGACAGGCTGACGTGCAGAGACTGTCAGTTACTGGAGCACAAAGAACACAGGTACAGATATTCCCATGTCTTAATTCCTGTGGTGTGCTGTCCCAGGGGATGGAATGGCATTGATGGAAACCAGCTGTGTCATAAATGCTGTTGCTTTTCCTCTTTGTTGGACTGAAGTGATCACTTCCAGTGGGAAATGTGTGGAGTGTGACTTGAAGTGATCAGCTGGTTGAGCTTTGTCAAGTCTCTTAAGATCAGATTCAAAACAACACGGGCTGAGGAGATGTGGTGTGGTTAAGGTGTGAACTTTCCCAGTGCTGTCACTCTGTTCAGGACTTGAATGGAAATTCCTGCAGCCCTGAGCACCTGGTGCTGTAAAGAAGCAGCAGTGATACAGTGAGTCATGGGTGAGGTCATTTTCTGAAAGGGTATATTTTATTGTGCAATAGTCTTTCAGGGTAGGGGAATTTCGTAAAGGAAAGTCTAAATTTCCCCCTCATAGATGAATATCTTCTTTTATTACAGAAGGGAAAAATGGTTTGCTTTTAGTTGGTTGAAAGTTGTTGCCTCATTCCAGATGAAAAGAAATGCTGAGTCTGGCTCTTTGCTGCCCAAAAAAGTTGGAACCTCTTAAGATACAGTAAAACTTCCTGCTCTTTAGGAGCTCTCTCCTATAGTTGTTTGAATGTCTGAACAAGTATTTGTCAGTGTTATAATAAAGAATCTAGAGATAAATATGTATTTATCAGCCACTGCACCACTGCTTTTTCTAGTCAGGCTACAAGTGACTCTTCTCTGTAAAGGTGCAACACTGAATTTAGTGTTGTTTTTCCCAGAGTAGCTGATTATTCTCAGACTGCTACAGCAGCCTGTGGAGAACTTTTCCTTTTGAAATTAGTATTACTAAAATATTAACAACCTGAAATGTTCCTGCTTTATTCTTTCACAGGCTTGATCCTAAATATCCTGGAAGACACCCTTGTCACAAAGTGTGGTTTTCTGGGATATGTTCACTAACTTGTTCTGGGTGGTTTCTTTGCATCTGTTTTGTGCACGTTGCTAATGGATTAACAGATGGATCTTGTTCTTCTTACCTGTTTATGTGATCCTTTAATGTGTGTTTAAGTGATCAGTGCACTTTCCTCATCAAACTGAGGTTCCTGGTATCTCCTTGAGCTGCTGTTCCATAGCTTGCTGTCCTGGGAAATGATGCAGTGCATCCCTGTGTGGTTGGAATTGTTGTTTCCCACAGAGGTTCAGTTTTATGGACACCAGAAAAGGATTTTATCAGCACTTAAACATTTTTCACGCTGATCAGCATATGCAGAGTCTGATTTTTCTGTGTGTTTTGTCATATTTTTTGAAAATGTTACAGTTTTACACCTGAATTGGGAGCCCTTGGTTTCAGCCTTGGTAATTGGTGTCTTCTCTTGCGTGTTCAAAAGGTACCAGTTTCTGGAAGAAGCTTTTCAGAACCAGAAGGGTGCAATTGAAAATCTTTTGGCCAAACTTCTTGAGAAGAAGAATTATGTAAATTTTGCAGCTGCCCAAGTTCAGAATAGGTAAGTTCCTCAAAAGGATTAACTGTTACTTTGCCTGAATCACAGCAAGATGAGTGATGGGATTGGAATAACACGTTTGAGTTGATTCTGTATCTTTAGTTATATTGGACTTAATTTTCATAATGTTTGTTTTCCTCTACAAGTTGTTAAAAGAAACAAATATCAAAGGCTGTGTCTTCTGTGGCAACTTTGAGTAGAACCAGAGATGTGACACATTTATTACACTTTGGGGAGGGGGGAGAATAAAAAAGGCAAGGAAACCCATCTTATGGTTTCTGCTTCAGTCAGCTCTAGGTGACAGAAGGGTTGAAATATTGCAATATTTTTATGTTTCAGATGAATGCCTCTGATAACTGTGTACCAAAACTTGGTTTGACTTTGAATAGGAAATTGTGGTTGTTTGTGGGGTTTTGTTTGAGATTTTTTAGGCAGCTTAACTTAAGATTTCCAGGGTTTGCTTAAATTCAACGTCATGTTAAATAGTGAATATAGAGACAGAGCACGTGATCTCTGCTGGCTTTTCACCCACTTTGGTGACGTGGTTGTGCTGCAGCTCAGGGAATTCCACTGTGATTCTCGGTGGTTTTCTGAGCCTTCTGCAACTTTCAGGTCATTTGCAAAATGACACATCATCTGGAGGTGGAAAGTACGAGGGTAGAAGGACCACAGCTTTAAGGAGAAGTTCTGATGCAAATTTTTACCTCTTTGTGGTACCATGTACACTAAAAAAAAGTGTAAGGGAAGGAGAACATATGACAGAGGCAAATGTATGATGATGGAAGCAATGAATGTTGAAATTTTTATGTGCTGATTTCTATGGAAGTCTTTGCACTGTCTGACCAAATATTTCTCTCTCTCTCTTTTTTTTTTTTTTTTAATTAGGATAAAAGAAGTAAATGAAACGAACAAACGAGTGGAACAGGAAATCAAAGTGGCAATATTCACCCTCATCAATGAAATCAATAAAAAGGGAAAGTCTCTCTTACAGCACCTCGAGGTACAGTTAAGAGAACAAGGAATGTTCAGTTTCCAGTCCCCTCTTAAACTTGAAAACAGTTTGTTTGTTGTGACTGCAGGTGTTGTAATACTAATATTGCCTCTGAGTAGTGTGTTGGAGTTAAATCTCTTGTTTATCCTTTCATAAGAGCCTGTGGCTCCTTTAGTGTCTGTGCCACATATTCAAAATCAGGCTCATTGTAAAGGAGTGTGTGAAAATCTCCTTTTCATGTTCTCTTTGCCATATTTCTGTATTATTGTGTAACTCTAAGGTGTGTGTAATGTAACCTTTTCCTCAGATAGGTTTTTTAAGGTTCATGTAAGAACAGACACAGCAGTCTTATGTGTTTTTACATGAAGGTGTAAAGCTGGTATTTAAAGTTACAGAGATTGGAATAAAGGAGACAAAGACTTCAGGCATCCTTTCCAGATAGCTTATCCTGAATAATATTTATATTCTGACTTACATTTTCATGGATTTTAATAAAACCTATTATTACTTCCTTTGTCTGAGAGGAAATCCATCATAAGAAGATAGTTAATTGCATATGGCCAGTCTGCCATGATGAAAAATTTAAGATCAAGTGAATTACAATAGATTTTTTTCTGGTTAAAGAACAATTATGTGGCAAGGAAATGGAATATTCCTGGAAGAAAAAAAATAATTTGATCATGAGTAAAAGAAATAATTTAAAATTACATGAATTTTGGCTTTTCTTGATTACTTAATGTTTGTTACAAGCTAGAAAATTGCTCCCTCAGTTCTTTGCCGTGTTGCTGTACCTTGGAAGAAATCGAGGGAGAAACTGGTCTTGTTTTATTTGTTGATAATTTTCTGGGATAAAGCAGAGGCTCTTCTCTGAGCCCACAGTCATCCCTGCAATTTGCTACCTCTGGGAAGAATGGTGGAAGGGAATATTAGAGAATTATTGATGGTTCCAGCACTCTGAGAGTGAGCATTAGTAAAAACCGCGTTGCTTGGGACATTTTCCTTTTGCTCCAAGAACTGGAATAGCCGTTTGCATTTTCCTCCTGAACCTGAAACCCCCCCATTGTAATAAAGTTTCTGTTTCTTTGTAGAATGTAACAAAGGAGAGACAGATGAAGTTAATACAGCAGCAGAATGACATCACTGGTCTGTCCCGACAAGTGAAGCACGTGATGAACTTCACGAACTGGGCGATCGCGAGCGGCAGCAGCACCGCTCTGCTCTACAGCAAACGGCTGGTGAGGGCACCCTCTGACTGTCCTCTGGAATCTCCGGAGCTGGAAGGGATCACAGGATCATCCAGTCCACCCCTGGCCCTGCACAGGACACCCCAAAATCTCACCCTGTTCCTGAGAGCATTGTCCAAACACTCTTTGAGCTCTGGCAGCCTTGGGACTGTGCCCACTGCCCTGGGGAGCCTGTTCAGTGCCCCACCACCCTCTGGGGGAAGGACCTTTTCTTAATATCCAACCTAAACCTCTCCTGACACAGCTCCAGCCATTCCCTCGAGACCTGTCAATAGTTACAGAGAGCAGAGATTGGAACTGTCCCTCACAAGGAAGCTCTAGACCCTGATGAGCTCTGACCTCAGGCTCCTCTTCTCCAGATGAACAGACCAAGTGACCTCAGCCACTCCTTGTGTGGCTGTGCAGACTGGACTGTACAGTTCAGAGAATGATTAGTCAAAAAAATTTACAAGTATTGTTGCAGCTTCACTAGATCATATCCAAGGAAGAGGCAATGAGTTGTTCATGTGTCATTTAAACCCCCCCTTCTGTAACAATGGGATAGATTTCCCAACTTGAACACTGCTTTTCATTTGTGAATTAAGGATTTAGGGGTATTACTGTAGAAGGAATGGGGTCAAGCTCTGTAAAGACACCTCAGTGTTTCACTTGAGTCATTGCATTACTATTATGATGTAACAGTGCTGCTCTTTAATCCTCGGAGTAAAAAGTGAGTTGTACAGCAGATGATTTTCCTGGTGAATTGAGAACTTTCCAGGCTGTGAACCAAACTTGCTGTTGGCAGTCCTTGTTGGTGTTTCACAGCCTAAACTCTCTAGGCAAAAGCACACTTCTCTGTCTTTATTTCTTTGTCACCAACAGTGTGTTTTTGCTTCCCATCAGATAACATTCCAGTTACGGCACATTTTGAAGGCCCGTTGTGATCCCGTCCCAGCTGCCAACGGAGCGATACGTTTCCATTGTGACCCCACCTTCTGGGCCAAGAATGTTGTCAATTTAGGTGAGAAAACTGTGTGTGTTTGTTCTGTGTTACTTGAAAAACTCAGTTGAGTTGGGGATGTTCATCCACCATGGGTGAGTTGGAGTGCAATACATCTGTTAATGCAGGAGACCAAAACTCTTGACATAACCCATCCAGTCCTGATGATCCTCTTTTTCTGCTCTGTTCTTTCTAGTAGCAAAGCTTTCTCAAAGGGTTTTGAGAACCAGTGGGAATGGTTCTAGGAATGACACTAATCCTGGAATAGTTTGGGTTGGGAGGGACCTTAAAGCTCATCCAGTCCCACCCCCTGCCATGGGCAGGGACACCTTCCACTAGCCCAGGTTGCTCCAAACCCTGTCCAACCTGGCCTTGGACACTTCCCGGGATGGGGCAGCCACAGCTTCTCTGGGCAACCTGTGCCAGTTCCAGTATATTGAAATATAATCACTTAGACTTTGTAAAGCACAGGTTTTGAGTGAGAGAAGAGGGAGGTGAGACCTGTTAGCACCTGCTAACAGTTTTACCTGTTGGGTAAAACTGCAGTAGAAAATCTGATAAAAATACCAGCTTTTGTGTGTACTTGCTGCTTACTCTGAGTCCACTATCCAGGTTGTGGTGTTCCTGTCTTCAGTCAAGGAGGTTCATTCCCCAGGGCAGGCAGAGAAGGAAACAGGAAACTCTCTATAAAATGGGGCATGCAGATCCCAAGGAGTACATGTTAACAGTCAAAAATAACATTTTTGCCTTTTCCCTTTAGAGAGGTAACATGGTCCACCACATTTTAGGAAGGCAGGGCTTGCTTGTAGCAGTTTTGTGTGGTGTTTATGTAACCTGTTCTTAGTCACTCGGTTGTGGGACACTCTTCACTGTCTCCCAAATATCTCTTCCCAGGCTTTGCTTCCTTAGATATAGAAACTTTATGCTCAAAAAATTTTTTTCTCATCTTTTTTGTGGTGAACACAGAGCAGTCATCTCTACCTGTCTTGGCTTTTAAGACTATGCAGTTCCAGTTCTTTCACTCTTTCCTCACAAATCACGTTTTTAATTTTGCAATTTCTTCTTGTAGTCTGAGTTCTCGTTTTGTTTCTGTCACATATGGTTATAGAGACTTAAAAAGGAAATTTCAAGCTTGAATTGCTTTTTTACTGCCACTGAGGAAACTGCAGTAGAAACATCTGAATGTTCTGCATTTATCAGCCTTTGGATGATGATGGAGTTTTAAGTTTCCTTTTTTTTTTTTTTTTTTTTTTTTTTGGTTGGTTTTGTTTAGGTAACCTTGTCATTGAAAATAAACCAGCCCCTAGTTACACTCCTAATGTAGTGGTTGGGCAAACCCCTCCAGCAACAAACCACATCAGCAAAGCTCCAGGACAGATCAATCTTGCACAACTTCGACTCCAGCACATGCAGCAGCAAGTTTATGCCCAAAAACACCAGCAGCTGCAGCAGATGAGGATGGCACAGCCATCATCTGCATCCGTGCCCAGGCAGAGCAGCCAACAAGTCCTCCAGCAGCAGGTAAGTGTCTTTTATGTTGTTATTTCACTCAAAATTACCCTGTCAAATATAAACTTAGAAAGCAGTTTATAAACTAAAATCTTTTGAAATTTGACATCCCTTTAATGTGATGGCTCTTGGCTTTGCTTGATGTTATGTTACTCGTAATCCTACTACTGTGGGAAGAGATTGGCTTCTTTTCTCCCTGTTGAAAGCAAAAATTTTAAAAAACACAAACCCTTGCAGCCTCCCAGGTTGATCAGCATGCAGACCATGCAGAGGGGTAACATGAACTGTGGGGCTTTCCAAGCACATCAGATGAGAATGGCTCAGAATGCTGCTCGTATACCAGGAATCCCACGCCACAATGGACCTCAATACTCCATGATGCAACCTCACCTTCAAAGACAAGTATATCCTGTGTACACGCTTCATTTGTGCCATTGTGCCAGACTTTCATTCCAGTAGATGGTACCTCCAGCTGTAAATGTGTTTCTCTGTCACCCCTGTAACTCCCGGCCGCCCACGTTGATATGCTCTGCCATTGTACGGTGACATTTCTGTACTGTGAGGTGACATTTGGTGCTGAAACCTTAAAAATGAAAATGTTATATTTGTATTGCATTTTTTAGTTCTGGGAAGCAGAACGTTTCCTTTGGCACTTTTCAGTGACATTCAGCTTTTGGGTTTCCGTAGAGAATGCTGAGGAATAGCGAAGTTCAGAGTGGTGTAGCTGAGGGGTTTTTATTGAACTAAATTCTAAAGTGGTTTTAAATTCAAACCTGAAGCATGATGCAGAGCTCTGTATGCCATTAAGAATAAAAATTATTGATAATGAATGTTAATGTGACTAAGAAATCAAAAGTGAGTTTATATTACTTGAAACAGTCGCTTTTTTCTTAAAATTTATAGAGAGATGTATGAACTCTAAAGTTGTCTTTGGAGGAAGTAATTGCCTTAAAAAAAAAGAAAAAGAAAATGTTTTGGTGGAAGATGTGCTGTATATTTAAATGTCTAGGCACATAAGGTGTATTTTTCTTTCCAAGTGAAGAGAAACAGCAGTTGCTTTGCATTCAGTGCTGTCAGGTGACGGTGATAGATGGGAGTTGGTGTGGTTTTGGTCGAGGTCTGTCACACAGTGCATGTGTTGCAGTGTCCCTGCAGTGCCTGCCCTGTCTGTAACACAGCCCTGCTCTCTGCTCTCTCCCTGCAGCACTCGAACCCTGGGCATGCTGGGCCTTTTCCAGTGGTTTCTGTGCACAACACCACAATAAACCCCACCAGCCCCACCACAGCAACCATGGCCAGTGCAAACAGGGGGCCCACGAGTCCGTCCGTCTCAGCCATCGAGCTCATCCCCTCCGTGACAAACCCAGAGAACCTGCCTTCCCTGCCAGATATCCCACCCATCCAGGTCAGTGGTGCTCATCAGGCACTTAGCACTGGAATGATCTGCTTCCCTTTCCATGTATTTTTTTCATTTGGATACCAGTGTGTGTGTCTGTGGAATGATGCGGTTGTCGTTTAAAATTTAAATTAAAATCTTCGGCCCTTCACTTGGGCTGTTTTCTCCATGTAGGGTTGAGCTGCTCCACCTGTTAACCTGTAGATTAATCAGTATTTAATGTGTGTCAGATAGTAAAATTGAGACTTTAAATAATCCCAAGTGTTAATTTCCTTTCTTCCACAAGGCCATCCTGTGGGAAGGATATCACTAGAATAGTTGAATAGTTGTGGAAAATACCACTACAATAGTTAAATAGTTGTGGAAGATATCAGTAGAACAGTTGAATAGTTAAGATATCACTGAAATAGTTGAATAGTTATGGAAGATATCACTAGAATAGTTGAATAGTTACATATTTTGAGTGTCCTGAATGGTGATTTATTCAGGGTTAAAATTGCCTGGAGCTTCTCTGTGATATTCCTAAAGGTAGCAGAGGCAGGAAGCACAGAGGGAAGGTGTCCCACTGCCCCACAGAGAGGGGACACGAGCTGAGGTAGATTTTGAAGTGGAGCCCATTTGGAGAGGTCAAAAGAATAATTTAATGTACATGTGGAGGCAAAGAAAGTAAAAGTAATGTGTTTTCTGCAGGAGTGTTTGGGAGACCAGGGAGAAGAGTCTTCATCTTGAGATGTGTACATTGAAATGCCCATATAAAGCACGGGAGATCTGGTCATTGTACAGGAAACAAAACCTAAATTCCAGCCAAGCAGATGGTCTGGTTTAATACCAACAGCAACTCTGACATTTAATCTACAGAGTGTGAGAATAGGAGGAAAAAAAAGAATCACATCTCAGTGATCTGTGGTGCTGAGGCTTTGCTTACTCATTAGAACAAAACACAAGTGTGAGTGGCTGTGCCTAATTCATCTTTCCATGTGTGAAGTTCAGGAGACACCAAGTTAGAAATGGTTGTTAGTGGGATAGTCCAGAACATTCACATGCAGCTTCCAGGTGCACTGAAAATGCAGAATTCTGTTAAGATGCTCTTTTTTTATACCTGTTCATGCAATAGTTGTTGTGGATTTTTAGTTGGATTTAGTGGACAGGGAGCTGTTAGTCCTTCAAGCTGCTTGCAGTCATTAAAACTTGAATACAGTGTGTTTCAAACATGTTATTTGCAGTTATGCTGTCTTGCAGTTAATGGCTTTAAGCAGTTACAGCAGTAGGGTCCCTTTTTCTTTGGGTTTAGCAGATACTGAAATCTGTGTGAAAAGTGAATGGGAGGGAGATTTCCCATCACATTAAGGACAAACAAGTTCATGGTTTCCCTTAATTGTGGAATAACTCTTGCAACATCAGTGATCTGGTAGTTCATGACTAACACCATGTGTGTGAGTAACACTGAGCATCTGGGAACCAGAAAGTTTGGAATGACCTGGAGTAAGTGCAGCCTGGGACCATACTGGAAGAACTCTGATTTAGGAGCCTTTGAAAAATCTGACTTTAAATTTCTTATTTGAAAGCCTCATCTCTGTATAAAACTGATGAAAATGTTTGCTGGTGTCCCAAATCCTCGAAGGGAGAGGGAACAATTCCCATAAAGATGCTGATCGCTGTTTAAAGATGTTCAACTTGAATTAGACCTCTCTGATTCAGATTTTTGTTTTTTTCTTCTTAGCTTGAAGATGCTGGTTCAAATAGTTTAGATAACCTGCTAAGCAGATACATTACAGGCAGCCACCTCCCCCCACAGCCCACGAGTACCATGAATCCCTCCCCAGGACCTTCAGCTCTGTCTCCAGGGTCATCAGGTAAATGTGATGGGTATTTGTGGTATTTTAAGTTGAAAACAATTGCTTACCATTTTTTACCAAATTTATTTAAAATTTATTTTGCTCAGAAATAGATTCTTTTGGAAATTTAAATTTTACCCTCCTTCAGAAAAGTTTTTATAGTAACAAACTGGCAGCCCATGAGTGAAGTATTCCAGATACATGTAGAGATAATATTTTTGTCCTGTGTTACCACAATTGGGTTTTTTTGTGCATCAGAGGACATAGTTCAGTTATTGTCCCCAAATGAGGACTGGCTGGACCATTCTGAGGTTTGGGAAGTAAGTTTATAGAATAGCTTAGTCACAGAAATACACCCAACAATCATTTGAGCAGGGTCATTCTGAGTATAACCAGTTAATGGTAGACATTTCATTATGGATGTGAACAAATTAAGTCACCAGTACCTAAGGCTGAGTTATTTAAATATTGGAAATGTCCATTCCTATTAGAAAGAAGATGATTTCAGTCACTAGGAAGAAGTTTTTCCTTGTGAGGGTGGGGAGGCCCTGGCACAGGTTGCCCAGAGAAGCTGTGGCTGCCCCATCCCTGGAAGTGTCCAAGGCCAGGTTGGATGGAGCTTGGAGCAACCTGGGCTAGTGGAAGGTGTCCCTGCCCATGGCAGGGGGTGGGACTGGATGGGCTTTAAGTTCCCAAACCACTCTGGGATTTCGTAGGTGTTTCTCTTGGTCTTCTCTCCAAGATGCTGTGGATGAAGGGGTGCAGCAGTGGGACTTACAGTGTTTCTCAAAACCTGCATGCAAACCATGCAGAGTTTGCTTTTTTGACTTTATCAGAGCATAAAATTTGAGGGCATGGTGGGCTGAAGGCTTTAACACTGTTTGGATTAGCTGAAATAATTACTGGGTCTCTTACCAACCGTGTGTTGTCTTTTTTTTATTTAATTTGATCTGATCAAATGACAAAGAACAGCTGACTTAGGTGACTTATTAGATTAGGATATTTTAGCAGCATTTCTGGTGTTACTCAACACTAGTCATTATACTTGAGAATGTAAACTTGTACCAAGTCAACTTCTGTGCTGCTTCTTTGCAGGTTTATCCAACTCCCACACTCCAGTGAGGCCACCCAGTACCTCCAGCACAGGGAGCAGAGGAAGGTGAGTGATGCCAGGCTGAAAATTCAGACATGAAGAATTAAAAAAAAAAAGAATTAGCAGTGGATTAATAGGGCTTCAATATAATTATGACTCAAAAATGGAAGAATGCTTACATGGAGATTTATATTTTTTATTTTTTTTCCCTTCACTGTGATTCTCTGCTGTAAACTCGAGCTTTTGTAAATGTTCTGATGTGCTTTGCCTTTCATTTGGGAAACAGTTACCCAAAATTCTTTGCCCTGATGATTTTTCCTCTTATTTATGTGCTGGTGTCTTTCTAGCTGTGGCTCCTCGGGCAGAACTGCTGAGAAAACTGGTGTTAACTTCAAGGCTGACCAAGTGAAAGTAAAGCAAGAGCCAGGCACAGAGGAAGAGATCTGCAGCTTCTCAGGAACAGTAAAACAGGAAAAAACAGAGGATGGCAGGAGGAGTGCTTGCATGGTAAAGTTAGTTTATGTAACAATATGTCATGGTTGTCCTAGCAGCATGTTTAAGAATTTGGAAATAAAGAAAAAAGAGGCAATTCTACTCATAACCCTCATTCTGAGAGGTGTTTTCTCCCTGGCAGTGCTCTGCCAGGCACAGGGTAGTCTGTCATGTAATTTTATCTTTAGCTATTAAAGTTAAATACCCACAGTGTGGTGTGTTTGCTGCTTTTAATCCTTAGTTAATAAAAGCTATAAGTCACCTACTAATAGTAGTTCCTGGATATTCACCCATATGTAATTACATTCAGAAATCTCCCAATCAGTCAAAAGTTCTTATGCCAGAGCATAAATAAAATATTCATCCAAGAGAATATTTTCTGGTGTTACCCAGCTATGCTTGATTTAATGGGATTGTGTACTTGGAGCAGGGTGGTGGATTGGAGGAGTTTTCCTAATGTCAATGAAAGTTAGTTTTTAATGAATGATCATTAAAGGAAAGATCATTTAGGAAGAAATTCTTTACAGAAGGGGTAATCAGCCATTGGAATGGGCTGCCTAGGGAGGTGGTGGATTCTCCATCCCTGGAGGTTTTTAAGAAGAGACTGGATGTGGCATCAGTGCCATGGGCTGGGAACCACGGCAGGGTTGGATCAAGGGTTGGACTTGATGATCTCAGAGGTCCCTTCCAACCTGACTGATTCTGTGATTCTATGATCAGTGTATTTGACCTGAAAGTTTATCATGTTGTACATCAGGAGAAATGAGTGTGTTCTTGAAAGGAAGGGCTTGTGAAAAAGTAGCTTTCAATATTACGTGCACCTCAGCTCTTCATAAAACTTTCCCACTTGTTTTGGGATGTGAGTGTAGTACCTTTAAACAGTGGATGGCTTTTGAATTCCAGCACGTGAAGGAAGATGCCCTTCTAAAATTGCCTCTCTCCCGCTTCTCGTTTCAGCTCAGCAGCCCTGAGAGCAGCTTGACACCACCACTATCCACCACCTTGCACCTGGAAAGCGAATTAGAAGCGTTGGGGAGCCTGGAAAACCACGTGAAGACAGAACCAGCGGATCTGAGCGAGAGCTGCAAGCAGTCAGGGCACGGGCTGGTGAACGGCAAGTCCCCCGTGCGCAGCCTCATGCACCGCTCGGCCCGCGCCGGGGGAGAGGGGAACAACAAGGACGACGACCCCAACGAGGACTGGTGTGCTGTGTGCCAGAACGGGGGGGACCTGCTGTGCTGTGAGAAGTGCCCCAAGGTGTTCCACCTCACCTGTCACGTACCAACACTCCTCAGCTTCCCCAGGTACGGGATCGCCGTCAGCCCGGAGGACGGGGGGAGAGGCCAGGCAGAGAGGGAGCTGGGAGTTTGGATTGACAGGAGGCTGAACAGGAGCCAGAGTGTGCCCAGGGGGACAAGAAGGCCAATGGGTCCTGGCCTGGCTCAGGAACAGGGTGGCCAACAGGGCCAGGGAAGTGATTCTGCCCCTGGACTCAGCACTGGGGAGGCCACCCCTGGAGTGCTGTGTCCAGTTCTGGGCCCTCAGCTCAGGAAGGACATGGAGGGGCTGGAGCAGGTCCAGAGGAGAGCAACGAGGCTGGGGAAGGGACTGGAGCACAAGTGCTGTGAGGAGAGGCTGAGGGAGCTGGGGGGGCTCAGCCTGGAGAAGAGGAGGCTCAGGGGAGACCTCCTCACTCTCTGCAGCTCCCTGACAGGAGGGGGGAGCCAGGGGGGTTGGTCTCTTTTCCCAGGCAACTCTCAGCAAGACAAGAGGGCTGGGTCTTGAGCTGTGCCAGGGGAGGTTTAGGTTGGATATTAGGAAGAATTTCTTTCCAGAGAGGGTACTGAGCCATTGGAATGGGCTGCCCGGGGAAGGGGTGGATTCTCCATCCCTGGAGGTTTTTAAGCTGAGACTGGATGTGGCATCAGTGCCATGGGCTGGGAACCACAGCGAGGTTGGATCAAGGGTTGGACTTGATGATCTCGGAGGTCCCTTCCAACCCAGCTGATTCTGTGATTCTGTGATTCATGGGGGGAGATTGTCCATAGTGCCAAAACTCTGTTTTGCTCCACCCCAGCTGGTTCTGGGTGATTTCTTGGAGTAAAACTTTTAGTAAGACTTGTAGTAAAGACTTTTCCAATGCCTGCCTGAATTGTTTGTGCCTGGTCAATGTTTAGCTGATAAACACATGATCTCTCAGACTGTGATACTCTTACATGGAGTTTATTTTAAGGTGAGATGAGAGTGGTGGTGTAAAGGATTAAAACATCATTGGGAGAGGAATATGAGGGCAGGAAAACTGACCTTCACTTGGCAGGGTTATTGTGGGCATTAAGGGTTATTCCTTAGCTTTGGATATTCAAGTCATTACTGCATTGGAGTGTGAATCTGTAAGAGTGAAAAAATCTTTGTAGTCCCTGATGAGAATTTGCCCCTGGATATCTTCAATAATTGTGTTTTTTCTCTTCAGTGGAGAGTGGATATGTACATTCTGCAGAGATCTGAGCAAACCTGAAGTAGAGTATGATTGTGACAATTCACAGCACAGCAAGAAGGGGAAAACAGCACAAGGCCTGAGTCCTGTGGACCAAAGGGTAGGTCTCAAATCTGCAGGAATCTGCTTCCTAGGAAAAAGTGCTTTCTCAGATTAGCTCTCCCCCACTGTTTGGAGATGGTTTTGCTGTGGCTGCAGCAAATTAAATGTGAATCTGGCTCTTGCAAAACAACCCAAAATGATTATAATGAGATTTTTCTTGCTGTGAGATGTGGCCACATCTCCAGGTGTTGGTGACTGTGGGAATGTTCTACTGCATTGGGACTGTAATCACTTAGTAGCTAAAATTTTATGTAAACAGATATTCTATATTTAAATGCATCATTTAACATGTTCTTAATTAGAAATTCTTGGTATTTAGCATCAATGTAACCTTCATAAAATAGTTCTGAAAGTTTGGTGTGTTAAGTCCAAGCTGTGAGAGCTGCTGCAAGTGGATTTTTGGGGAAGGTATAATGGCCTTGACAGTCAGAATTCATTTTACCTTTATCAATCAACCTGTGTGTAAAGGGTTCTCAAACCAAATTCCTCCAAAGGAATTACAAGCAAAGCAAAGAAAAATATTTCAACAGGGAGTTTATAAGAAACCTCTGGGTTTGGTTTCAGATTGTTTAATTTTGTCTTGTGGGGAAAAGAGACATCTGTAGCTCAGTCCTTTCCTGTTACATGTGGTTGTGGTTGGACAAAAGCAGTAAAAGGAACTGTAGTTTGTTGTGTTTTGTTTTGTTTTTTTTTTAATTTGCAGTAGATTAGCATGCCCCTCTCCATGTTAAATTTTAGCCCTTGGCTTTTGTTTAGGAAGAAGAAAGCAAAGAGGAAGTTTGTGAACATTATGTGTTCTGCCTCTCAACTCTGCCCTCCTAAAAATTGTAACTTTCCTAATTAAGCTTTTGGGGGTTGCATCTAAATTTTCTAGTACTGAGCTGTTGAAGGACAAACCTATTTAAAACAGGGAGGTGTGAATTTCTGTGCTAAGGATAAATTAGGAGTATCAATCTGAAGCTGTTTTATTGCTTTATAGAAATGTGAACGTCTCCTGCTTTACCTGTACTGCCACGAGCTGAGCATTGAATTTCAAGAGCCAGTCCCAGCCTCGGTGAGTCTCCTGGAAAACAGTTTGTGGTTTACTTCTGATATAACATCTCTGAAAGTCTGGAGTTGAAGGAGCTGACTTTACTAGAAGCATGTCTCCCTTGATCAATCTAAAAGTTCTGGCAGTCATCCAGTATTTTGTGATACTGAAAGAAGCTGATTCTGTAGCTTCCCCATGCAGATGCTTCACTTCCAGTCTCTTAAAATAGATATTTAAAAATACTTTCAATTAGCAGTTATTGACTTGGAAGAGGATGTCTCAGGATACCCGTGAAATTCAAAATACTTTGGGAGAGCTCTTTTTTTCTTTTTGGACAAACTTTTGAATGAAAACAGGAAAAAAACTGCTTTGACTCTTCTGTTTTCAGCTGTAAAAGAAGTAACTGTAATGAAAAGCCTTCCTATGCTGTGATAGACATAGAATAATGGAATTATTTGGGTTGGAAGAGACCTTAAAGCCCATCTCATTCCACCCCCTGCCGTGGGCAGGGACACCTTCCACTAGCCCAGGTTGCTCCAAGCCCTGTCCAACCTGGCCTTGGACACTTCCAGGGATGGGGCAGCCACAGCTTCTCTGGGCAACCTGTCCCAGGGCCTCCCCACCCTCCCAGGGAAAACAATTCCTCCCCAATATCCCATCTCACCCTGCCCTCTGGCAGTGGGAAGCCATTCCCCCTTGTCCTGTCACTCCATACCCTTGTAAAGAACTTTTTAAACAGTTTGAGGGAAGGAAATCCTTTGTCTTTGCCGAACATACATAAAGTGTGTGATGAGACCAACTCACCGAAAGCTTCAAAAACACTCAACTCCCTCCGTGAGCTCTGTGGTGATTTCAGTGATAAACGACTGTTTGCTCTTCACAGATACCAAACTACTATAAAATTATAAAGAAACCAATGGATTTGTCCACGGTGAAGAAGAAGCTGCAGAAGAAGCATTCCCAGCACTACCAGAGCCCCGAGGATTTCGTGGCAGACGTGCGGTTGATCTTCAAGAACTGTGACCGGTTTAATGAAGTATGTTAACTTCCAATCTCAGCACTCTTTAGATTAAAGATTGATTTCAACATGCTTGTGCAGCTTCTCCAGTTAAAGGCTCTGCTTCCAGTCTTAACTTCTGCTTTTGGAGCAGATGCCAAAGCAGACACTTAAAAACCAAACCAAACAAAGGCAACTGCAGAAATATTTCTCCTTTTTAGTTAAATTGGGAGTTCAGGCTTTCACAGAGGGAACTCTTAAAGTGCTTTCTGGATCTCTGACTGAGGGGCAGGGTGACCTCGTTACTGTGTGAAGTGCTTAGAAAGTGTGGTAATAAAGACAAACAAAGCCCTTCAAAACTGTACAGATAATTGTTTTACACTCATGAAATGTGGTAAATTCTATTGAGGAGCTTCCTCTACTGAGAAGTGCCTTTCTGAAGAATATTCTGGTTCTAGTACCTCACAGAGGCTGAATACAGAAAAGCTTTAAGGTTGTTATTGCCAATATTGACCTTACTGCTTTAGCTCATGGGTAGCTGGGCTCTCACAAAAACCAGTTTTCAGTGGATAGCTTGGGTATGGAGTCATATCTTTTACTAATTTTGCAATGATCCCATCTCATAATGAAATATTTGTACCTTACATGTGAAATGTGACTTGGGGAGATGAATTACCTGAGTGTTACTGCTACTGGGGCAATGGAAAAATAATCTGAATATTAAAAAAAAAGTGGTGATACTGTGGTGAGACAGAGTAGGAGCTCAGAGGGTTCCTAATTTCTGACAAAAGGCGTCACAGGGAGTGGCTTTCTTCTGACCTTAGAAATGCATAAACAGGCCAATATTTCTCTGTAAACTGTAACCTGAATTTGCAGTGTTTGGGCTGCACTTCTTGCTCCGTGCAGAAGTAAATTGAAGGGACTGCACAGAGCTGCAATTAAAATCCCACTAGTGAAAATCAAGGTTAATGATGTGATGCTGTAAATGCTCACAAGCATTTGGGACTTTGTCAGCCCCAACTCCTTTATGTCTCTGCATTAGATGGAGGTTCATGAGCACTGGGGGAAGAAGTTGCAATTATGTGAACTTCTCAATCAAGGGAATTAATGAAGCAGCTACTGTAGGGTAAAACAAGCTGCAGCTCTCAGGGACCAGAGTAAAACAAAGGAGGAAGGGACTGAGGGATGTGGTGGTTTTTTTCTTATTTTTCTTTCTTAAAAAAAAAAAAAAAAAAAAAAAAAAGATGTTTCAGCTTGTCTGGCCTATGGCAAAAGTTGAGTCCCCCTGACCCCTCACAGTGGCATCATATCTAGTGCCTCTAAGCCAAATGCTTTTAAAAAGCAGAAATCCAAGCTGGGTCAGACCCCTGGAAAGCAGTTTCCTGGAGCACTTCTCTCCAGAGTGAGACTTGCCACGAAAATGTGTAGGCAACGAAAATTGAGCACCAAGAAAGCAGTCATGAGTAGAAAATGACTGGGAGCCATTTATTTGTGCAAGAGTTGTGTGTTTTGTTGAAGGTTTATTTACCACCTAAGACTGTCTTAAACCTGCTGCCTCTAAGTTTGGGAACTAAAGAGCTCAGCCCATAACAAACTGTGGTGTTGTTATGGCTGACTTTAGTCATCCAATCCTATGCAATCTGGTAAACTTTAGGAAGGATTATAATTTCATTTTTTTTGACTCTGGTATCCTTTTTAGATGATGAAAGTTGTTCAAGTTTATGCAGAAACACAAGAGATTAATTTGAAGGTAAGCGTTTCAGACCATGCACACTTGGTGAAGGGATGTGCATTTCCAACAGGTGAATATTCCTGTCTTCTTTCATCCACAGGCTGATTCAGAAGTAGCACAGGCAGGGAAGGCAGTTGCATTATACTTTGAAGATAAACTTTCAGAGATCTACCCAGACAGGACCTTCCAGCCTTTGCCTGAATTTGAGCAGGAAGAGGATGATGGTGAAATAACTGAGGACTCCGATGAAGATTTTATACAACCACGTAGAAAACGCCTAAAATCAGATGAGAGACCAGTGCATATAAAGTAATCTAATGATATGGACCTGAAATTTATTGTAAAAACTGTTATTTAAGTGTTCCTGGAATATTATCATGCCTGCAGTGGCCATCTTGAAGAAGCTGATAGCTTTTTAAACAGTATTAGATTACAAAAAACACTTGTACAGAAAAACATTCGCATCAAAAGGGGAAAAAAACCTGTATTGTAAATTTTTGGTGGTTTGTATTTTTTTTTTCCTTGATCCTTTCTTTTCCTGATGGAGGGGACACACTCATCCTGGTCTCACAGATAGAGGTGGAGGAAATGTTGAAGAGAAGCAGATTTGATGAGATGTTCCAAGTACAGCTGAGACTGTGTAGGAGAACGTTCTGCAGGACTGGACCAATAGAGTGACTGTATCTTGCATTACACTGCAGTGTAAACTGTGAGCAAAGTCCCTGAAATCCCCTCTCTGTGTGAACTCAAGTGTGTGTTGGTCATTGCTTTGGTCATCTCATTGCAGCAGAGTTGTGAATAACTGGTCTTCTGTGTCGATCAATTACTGACATTTTACTTTCTTTACTCCATTTTATGTGTAGCAAAAGGAAAAAGAAAAATATCATTAAACTGTTCTGAATTGGCAAGTGCAGGAATGTGAGTTTTTGACAGGCAGAAGGAGCTAAGCTGGTGGCAACAATCTCTTTCAGTAGGATGAGGTGTATTTATTAAAATCCTGTACCCAGAACATTTTAATGGAGTTCATGGCAGAAGTCTCAGTGTTGTCATCTGTCCCTGATCCCCCTGATGAGGCAGAATGTTCTTTCCAGTATTCATTCTCTAGTTTCTGTACTTAAAATATAGACTGAAGAGGTAATAACTGGTTGGGGTGTTTTTCCAGTCTTCCTAAATATCAGTTTCTAATAGACCACTCGGCAAACAATAACATATTAACTACCAAATGTGTAAAATTTCCTGTATTCACTTTGTCTTATTTGTAAATAGTGAATTGAGATTTCTTGCAGATCAGCAACATTTGCTGAACTGTTTTTAAGCTAATATGTATTCTTATTGATTGTTCCTATCAAGAAAAGATTTGTAATATATGCTATTTCTAACATTGCATTCATTTTGAGGTTCTGTCTTATTTTTCTTAGAGTTACTTCTCAGAACTTTTCTTCAGAAGCAGCTTGTGAGCAAAATGTCCAGAAGGATTGGAATCAGTCTGAGTTTGGGTTATCTGTCCACCCACTTGCACAGACCAGGATTTGGCTTTGAGTGGTTTCTGGTCAAACAGTGAAAACAGAACATTTTCCCAAATTCCCTCAGTGAGCCTTGAGGCACCTCTGCTGTGCCTTCCCCTTGGACACTGCCTTCATCCCTGTGAAATCAGGGTCAGCACAAGGATTTATAGTTTGAATAGTTGTTTTCTTTCCTGACAGAAGTCAATACTAGAAATAATGAATGTCATTTCTGGCCTTCACATCGCTCTTGCTAAAGTGAGGTGAAGAATTCATGTGATCAGATGAGCTCGAGTTGACAGACTCTAAATTTGCCGTAATTTGTGTGAATACAACAATTCTGTGGTAAATCCCTGGGGGTTTGGTGTCCTTAGCAACTCCTGGGACATTGTACACGCTTTACCATAATGGTAAAGAGAAATATTTTAGCACAATGTCAAATTTGAGATCTGCTCTCAGCAGTCTTTACGCAAAGAACTGCGGATCTGGTTGCTTTTCATGAGAACCGAGTCTGTACATTGGGACTCCCCCTCTCTCACAAAAAAAAAAAATGAGTGGACTGAAGGTATTTGTGACTTCAAGCTCACTTCTTCACTCAGATGTTACAGTTAAACTGGTTGGGGTTTTTTCCATTTCTCAGATATTAACAATAGTGATGGTTTAAATTTAATTTTTAGCAGTTTGTACGTGAAAAGAAGAGGGAAAAGGAATTCCATTTCAACATCTTAAGTTGACAGAGAGCAAAAGCTTTGCCTATAGGCAGGCTGACGTGTGTGAATAGGACACTGGTAGTGACAAGGGATCATTTCATGGCTCTGTGTATTGCCTATTTATGCATTTCTAGTTTCTCAGCTTCATTTTGCAAAAGGAATATTATTAAAATTATCATGAAAATAAGATTTTTGTGAATTCTCTTCAATCGGGGGTCCCCGTTTTTACAGCGCTTACACTCTTTGGGTTCTGGACCTCCAGGCCTCAGCTTTTGAACTGTTCCCTGGGCACCAGCCATGGATTGAATCCTGCAGAGCCCCCCAGCCTGAGCCAGAGCGTGGGATGGGCACGGTGGGATCCCCTGGGAGCAGAGTGGGGAAGGAGGAGGCTCGTGCTCCCCGGCTGCTGCAGGAACAGGACCCTCTGCCTCCCACCCAGACCCTCGAGCACATGTTCCATGTTTTGGGACAGCCTCTCTTTTGGGGTGGCCTCTCCAGTCATTCACTCCCTACAACAGCCAGGAAACTTGTCCAGCTCTAGATCAGCAGCTTCTGTCCCCCAGGAGTAAAGCTGAGCTTGGCCTTACTGAGTCCGAGCTCTTCTGCACAGATCCCACTGAACCCTCCAGAACTGCTCCTTCCATCCAGGCCCCCAGTGTGGGGATCCAAAGATGATGTGGAATTTTGAATGTGTGCAAGAAATCTCAAGTGTATCTTTTATTTATAAATCTTTCCCCCCCCTTCACTTTGGAACTCCCAAAGCAACGATTCAATGACGGTTTTGAAAGCAGGAAAGTTCTGTTTGAAAATACTTGAAAGGGTAGATAAGCTGTGCTAATCCATTCCCTGATCCTGTAGGCTGGGTGTTCATCACAGAACTGGGAAGGGTTTGCTCAGTGAAAGCAGTTTTTGGTGCCTCACTGTGTGTAACTTGTTCAGGAGCAAATTAAGGGGTTTGTGTTAATGAGTCACTGATTCTCGGAGCGTCTTCCCCGTGCCAGGTGCTGTGTGTGCAATGGGTGGGAGTGATTTTACCTGGGGATTTAGAGCACAGCTTACATCAGGAAAACTTGGAAAAGACAGTGCCAGGCCCTTGGTGTGATCCCAGTGCTCCAACGGGGGGGCAGGAGGGGTCTGGCCCTTGGTTTGACTCTGCTCTCGTTTAAAACACTCGTAAAAATTCATGTCTCAGTTTCTGTTGTAAATGACCCTGAGGTTTAAGTTAATCCAAAGAAGTAAAAGGCAACTTGCTTTTGAAATAGGAGTGAAAAGTGCACAGTGTGGGCTTCTCAGTTACCTCAGAGGTTCCTGCTGATTAGTGCTAATTCCACCAGCTGAGTGGGCTCAGGGTTTTTATTTAAATATGCCCTGAATAAGTGGCCTGGGGTATAAGAAGGCTGAGTTATTATCCAAAAAAAAGGATGTTCCCCCCAACTTCAGCAAACAGAAATGCTCAGTTCAGTGGAGAGGCTGTTCCTCTGTGTGGGACGTCACCACTGCAGGTCCTTGTGACACTCGACTGTCACACACTTCGTGCTGGCTCAGTGAAATGTTTTATAAACATTTCTGCAAGGCACTGGAGCTCAAGTCCTTAAAATGAGCCCAAATTTCTCTTTCACCACCTGGTTTGTTGGCTGACCTCGAAAAGTTTGGGTTATGGCAGCAGTATTTTGAAGCTCTGGGTATGGTGTTGGCTTTTCCAGTTGGCTTTTCATTGTTTTTCTTAATCTCTTCCTTGGAAAGAGCAATAAAAGTGCTTTGTCTGCTGCCTGTCAGCGTGACAGGAATCCTTTCCTTTGGGTAGTGATTTTATAGGGAAGTTTGTATGCATATCACCAAGCCTAGCTTTTAAAAACAGAGTGTGCAGCAGTTATTGACAGTATAGCGTGGCATTTTATTTTAAAAATTGGGGGAAGTTCCATGGTTTTTTTTAAGAAGTAGGTGTTTGAGCAAATAATGGAGGTACTTCTTTAAAATAAAAATGTTTATGCCACAGTTTGCATAGACATATTTCAGATGGAACATACAGGTTGTATCTTTGGGTATGTGATTTATTTTATCTTCTCAAAGTGTGGGTAAAGAAACTCTTCCATCTACTTCCAGCTTGCTTATGGGGATCCTACTTTCTATGCTTGCTAATGTATCAGGATTGAATTATCTTTCCAAAATCACAGTTAATTTGGGAATCTTTGTTATAAGTGAACTGTAAAATGTCTGAAATGCAGTTTTGGCCTTTTCTGTCGAGTGATCTCACAGCTTGAGGCTGCTGTCTTTAGGATTTATGGAATTTATGGGATTTCTCCAAGGAGAGGTACTGAAATACTTTGTAAGCTGGACTTGTTGCAGGATTCAGTCTGGAGTGACCTCCCCTGACACCTCTGCTGGCCTGCAGAGGGGGGGATTTTTAGGTTCAGAACACCATGACACATGTATATAATCCTATACAGATTTGTGCAGTTCAAAGCTTGTTTTCCATGTAAACGTACTCCTGGAAGGGTTAAATTCATGGCATTCTTGGATTCTTCAATGCTTCCAGTATTGGAACTGGTTCTTTTTTGCACATAGTAGACTTGGCTCATCTTTTGATATGATTCTTCAAAAAACCAAGTGCTGTTTCTGTGATATTGTATTATCTGAATCACCATATTTAACTTTTTTTTTTTTAAAAAGGTATCGTTTCTAATTGTTCTGTTCCTGTGGTTTTTGCTGGTGTGTAATTAAAAAAAATGAAATTTTTCTTTCCCTGGTTATTTAATACTTTAGCTGCCTGTAAATATCTCTTGTTAAGTGCTCTGGAATGTGCTGTAGAAGTTGTATTAGCTCAGTTTAAAGCATTGTTTGAGACCTATTTTGGTTTGGTTATTTCTATTAAATCCGAAAAATCACTCTTTCAATTTGAGTTTTCTTTTTTTGCACACCATTAGGTACAGATTCACGTCTGGCAAAAGACTTTTCTGACACCTGCAGTGTGGAAAACAGGGTGAAAATCAGGCTGCAGGAGCTCAGATGTGCCCAGCTGGCATCCAGGCAGAAAATGATTTGGCACCTTGGTGTGAAACACGGGGGTTTGAGGGTTTCTCAGTTTTTTTAGTGCTGCTGCTCATCCTGAAATGGGAGGGGACAGTTCAAGGTGTGCAGCTCAAAGGGCTGCAGTTGTGGGGATGGGGTGGGATGGGATGGGGTGGGATGGGATGGGATGGGTGGGATGGCATGAGATGCTTCCCAACAGAGCTGACAACGCTTCTGGGGGTGGTTTTGAGGGGTTGTTGCCCATGACCCTGCCCCAGTGAACACCAGGAGAATGAAGAGGGAGCTGACCTGGGTCGCTGTGTGACCCGTTGGGGTGACACCTCACCTACCCTCTCTGTCACCCCCTGCTCTGCACGTGGTTCATTGTTCTCCCTGTTGGAGATGGGGCTGTGGTGAAGGCATGGCCAGGGGCACTGGGTCCCTTTGCTTAATAAAGGTGTGGTTTGGTGTGTCAGGACCACCATGGACCAACACCATGTGTGGGTGATTCCAACTCCAGGGCACAACCCCTGGGTCCAACTGCACTGGAAGGGAGGAGGAGGAAGAGGAGGAGGAGGAGGCTGCTCCTGCACCCTCTGTACTTTTTACATGTAGTGAAAAAGCTGCACACGTGCAGTGCTGTTGGGTTCCTCCACCTTGGAACTGCAGTTTGGGGTGTGTGCCTTGAGCTGCTCCCCACCACTGATAAATCCCTTTTCTTGTGTGGATGTCACTACTGGAGGAGTCTCCTGCCTTACCAGAACTAAAAGCAGAATTGAGCCCACAGATCCTGGGCTATGGCCCAGTTCAACTGCAGCTCAGCAATTGGAAGTAGGGACTTGTCTGGTTTAAGGAGTCATGAAATGACTGCAGCTCCCCCAGGCACCAGCATCACTTGTGCTCCAGCTGACCGTGCAGACCTGCAAGAAGAGAGTAGTGTGAGCTTCACCTAAGCTAAAATTACCTCTGAATGATTTTTTTGCAACCAATGACAGGCCTGGTAACCTGGAATGGCAGCCAGCTTGGGGGTGTGTCTGTGCTTCCATAACCTGTGCAGCTGGTGAAGGCTCTGATCCAAGCAGGTCTGTTCTGTATCAGCATTTCCCTCCGGGCTGTAGCTCAGAACTAACCTGCATTTTTCTCTCACTGTTTGTTTATTCTTTGAGTGCTTGTGGTGGGTCAGTGTCACAGGAGCTCCATGATGAGAGAGCTGTGTTCTAGGAGAGGTTCAGTTGCCTTCACCAAAGCACAGACCTGTTCCTCCTGAACAAAGAACTCCCACATTCCCACCGAGCACTCGCGTGGCCTCTCCAGCCTCTGCAACCACCAGCAGAGGAACAGGTGATTTGAAACTAAACCCTTGCACTTGGGATGGGTTTTGCTGCCAGACCAAACAGTGGCAGCAGGAGGTGGTGCTGGCTGTGGATGGGTGGCTGGATGCCCTGCTCACCCTCCCGACCCCTCCGGGGCGGGACCGGGGCTCTGCTGGCAGAGGAGGAGCAGCGGGGAGTTCTCAGAGGGGTGTTTTGTTTCTCTTTGCCAGCTGCTGCCTCGCCGTGTCCAGAGCACTCCCAGTCCATCTGCTCCAGCTCTGCCAGCCCATCTGCTCTGGCTCTTTTGGTGGGTTGGTGTTGGCCCTTGTGGCTGGACTGGCATCTGTTGCTTTCAGCTCCTCTCTTTGACTCCACTCAGCCCCTGGATTCCCTCTGTAGGCTTGCCTGGATTTTTTTCCTTTACCATCCAGGTTTTAATTCTCCTGCCTTGCTCCAGTGACACTGAGCTCTTCACCCCATCACTCAGTGCTGCAATGCAGTTGCCAATTTTTATTTCCCCTCCAGGGGAGCATATCTGAATTTCCTCTTCCCATCCCAAAATTCTACCAAGAGTCAGAAACTGCTGCTAAACTGTTCAACCCCTTGCTGCCATTGTAGAATTCACATCTACTATAGAATCCCAGAGTGGTTTGGGTTGGAAGGGACCTTAAAGGTCATCTCATTTCACCTCCTGCCATGGGCAGGGACACCTTCCAGTATCCCAGGTTGCTCCAAGCCCTGTCCAACCTGGCCTTGGACACTTCTAGGGATGTGGATATCTCTGTAGACATGTATATGATTTTGGAGTTAGTGCCATTTTTCTCTGAGGGTTGAGATGGTGAGCCTGGATCTCCAGACCACCAGC